AAGTGATTTGCAGGATGAGAGGGGGATACTGATGTGGGCACGTTCAGCGATGGTGCACACAACGCAAGAAGTTCTTGCTGGTGGCGGAGGTCAGTTCCGCTGCCTTCAGACTGGGAGGACGCATTTTTGGGGTGACATCCTCATGATCGCTTTCGGGAGTCATTCTTACCATGGCAGCACCGATACGCCACTTATATAAATGACAAAAGCAACCTTCGGTGAAACGTGATGATTCCTTGCTCAGCTTCTGGAAAGCACTAAGGCATGTTTGCAAGGAGTCCCCTGGAATCAGTCTCACTGTTTTAGAGCTACACTGGGTAAGTCTTATGGTGACTCTTCAGCTCTTCCCGTCAAACTCCCTACGCCTACTTTCCATCCCGCACCCCCCCCCCAAAAAAAAGGATTTTCTTTAAGTGACCTCGGTCACTGAGGAAAGAAGTTTGCCTCCTTTCACCTTGGATTTCAGGCTCAACTCTCCTGAAACACACACACCACCACCACCTCGCTTTCCCTGGTTTTCTCTACTCTCAAAAGCCTCTCTGTCTCATCTGTTCGTTTCTCCATTTTGACTCCGTTAACATTACTTCCCACTTCTCTCCTCAAAGAGTACCTGGTTTAACTTTATGTTTCGCCCGTTATACTTCTCCCTATGCTCGTCCAAGAAGAGGAGAGACCGTGTCTTCAAGCTGCAGGATGACCCAGACCCCACCTTCTACACAGGGTTAGCCCACAATAAGCTACTTTTACGCTTAGCTACGAGACGGGATGCCAACAATGAAGCTTCACCTGACTCACTGGTGGCTGTTGACAACCAACTGACACGATTACGGGTTAATACCCAAGGCGTACGGTAAAATTTGGTACAGTTTGCTAGACTTAGGCAACGAAAATCTGGTTCCAGACCTGTTTCTCAGAGAAGCGCGCTAAATCTCCGCATGCCTGGGACAATCCCAGAGGCCCTACAAGAAGCAAAACCCAGAAGTGAGCTCGGAGTCCTGGTGGCCACCGCAGGTGTGCTGCGTACCAAGCACAGGCGTGCAGGCATTGTCGTTTCCAGGCCTCAACCAGAACTCATTATCCCACTGCAGCTTTAAAGGACAGCAGGTGGGGGGGCGCCTGGGTGGCGCAGTCGGTTAAGCGTCCGACTTCAGCCAGGTCACAATCTCGCGGTCCGTGAGTTCGAGCCCCGCGTCAGGCTCTGGGCGGATGGCTCAGAGCCTGGAGCCTGTTTCCGATTCTGTGTCTCCCTCTCTCTCTCTGCCCCTCCCCCGTTCATGCTCTGTCTCTCTCTGTCCCAAAAAATAAATAAACGTTGAAAAAAAAAAAATTAAAAAAAATAAAGGACAGCAGGTGTAAAAACGCAAAAGATGAGAAATATGCAGGACAGGCATTGTACTTTAATTGCAAGTAAGAGAGAGACTAGTTTTAGTACCACGCGTTTGGTGCAAAACCATTTACAGTTCCGTGTAAACGGAGTTTGGAAAACTTGGTTTTAAATCTCAATTACGCTGAAGAGAGCAAAAACCACCAATGGAGGATCAGCAGTTTGAAGATATTCCTTTGGGGGCGGCGGCATCTGACCACAAGTAAGGCTTTAAGCAAGAATCTGACGATACGGGAAAAGCAATGTACCTGTGAGTTTGATTTTGGACAGCCGAGCCAAGATTCCTGGCAAATCATCCAGATGGAGTTTCATCTCTTTCCACTGCTTTTCATCCTTGGTCTCTCTTCCCACATCGAGTGAGCCCTCAATTACGGAGGCCGATTCCAGTTCCAGCAGTTCTTTGTCATTGGGCTTTCTGGATAAAGGTAGGTGGGGGGGTGGAAGAGGTCTCATTGCACAGGTCTCTGCTTTGGCCTGAGCCAAAGAGCTTCTCTCAAGGAAAGGGGACACCGTGGGTTCTGGCTTCCGTTTGACTTGCTGGTTGAGGCTTCTGTTCAGTTGTGTGACATACTAAATAAAAAAAGTACACGTTACTATCAACCCAAGGCTCCAAAGGCTCTTAGACAGCTGTTTAGTAACACCGTCCGTCAGTCTGATACTGGACTTGAGAGATTTTCCTCAACCGTTGTAAACGTATGCTGAATCAATGAATGCTAGAATGTCTTCTACAAGGAAATCTCCATGCTAAGAGGTACAGAGACTATAATGCCTCAGCAGCGATTTTTAATTCTATGGTTTAGAGAGTCCTAGAAATTTAAGTTCCTTGAAAGAAAAATTTATTTCTTATTCATACCCTCCAGCATTTTCCTCAACACAGTACCACAAGCTGGAGGTTAAACGTCCAATACGGTGAAAAAGTTTTCTATCGTTGAGAGCCCAAGTCAAACCTACTGTCGACTTTCAATGTTCATAGGCAAACAGAGAGGGGCTCAGCGGTGGGGTAGAATTCAGGACTAAGTGACATTAAAGCTTTGTGTATGTGGGAAGAACACAAGTTGTAGAGTCCAACAATCTCTCCTGCTTACCAGTGAAAAGTAATAACTACTAACATAATAGGGCCCTTTCTGGTTTTACAGAATACATATCTTTACAGTTTATAAATTGTGTATCTTATTTAAGCTTCCAAAAGGCTATTTAAGAAAAAGGATCACTGGGGCGCCTGGGTGGCACAGTTGGTTAAGCGTCTGACTTCAGCTCAGATGGTAATCTTGCAGTTCATGAGTTCGAGCCCCACATCGGTCTCTGTGCTAACAGCTCAGAGCCTGGAGCCTGACTCTATGTTTCCCTCTCTCTCTGCCCCTCCCCGACTTGCACTGTCTCTCTCTCTCTCCTCTCTCAAAATTAAATTTAAAAAAAGAAAAAAAAAAGAAAATGGATCATGATCATTATTATCTCTTTCTTTAACTTACAGAAGAGAAAACCAAAGCTCAGAAATAAAGTGACAGAGTCAATGGCGAGTTAGTTGTATGTGTCCCTGGTACCTGGACCCACCTATTCTGATAACCAGTTAAGTGATTTTCAGTTACGTCACAAAGACTTGAAATGACATACACTAGTCCTAGAAAGGAATGAAAACTCGTGAATGAACCAGAGTTGTGTTTATATAAAAGAAGGCATTATATACATGCTTCTAAATATCCATTATCCTTGATCCCCAACCTAAGAAATCTAAACATCTCTGGAAATGTAAATCTCTTATCAAAATAACGTTTCATTAAGATTTTGTTACTTTTAAGTTTTAAGGTGGCCGTTCTAAGTTAAAAAAGATGAGAGAAGTATCAAATCAGACTTTAGAGGATGAATTTGCTAACTGTTCATACCTGTGTCATAATTATGAGTTTTCAGCTCTCATTTCTCCATTCTGTACTTTTCTATTTGAGAAAATGGCAGATGTCCTCACTGCTAATTAGGAGTAAGTTACCCTGTGGCCCACGAGATCATGGAACCAACCCAGAGGCCCGAGATGTATGAGCAAAGCTCACTATAAAGTCCCTAGCAAATGTCAAGATCTCAGTTTGCTTGAGTCTACTCAGAAGTGCCTGCGTTTCAAAGACTTTTCGATGCAAGGCTGATGCGGGAACACAGGTCACACTGGTAAAGAAATTATTTCTACGTTACTGATACATTCACAGAACCTTAAAGAATTTAAAGAGACGTGTGATAATGGTTCAGCTTTTCCTAATTTTACCCTAGGTGAAATATGCCAGAAGTTTCCAATCTTTCTCCAAACTTTATCAATAAGTTCATGATCATACTTTTAGCCTCGGACACCAGGGTTATTCTGGTTTCAATTAATAATCAAAACGAGGAATTCAAGTTTTGGATAAACTCGAGAGGACACTAAATAAAAATCTTTTTCAAGCAGCACTTCTTACGGCTCTTCTGATAACAGGAATGTCTCAAATTTCCTCCTACAAAGAAAGAAAATGCAAATAGCAGCAGAGTGGGGGGTGTGCTTCTGAACATACCATGCGCCTGAGGAAGGTAAAGTGTTGAAATGTCATCCACTGCTTACGGACGCTCCTGAAAAGACGGATGAACTCGCGAGGGGATTCCTGCATAGCTCTTCCTTCCAGATACCAGACACATCCTCCCACCCAACCTGTAACACAGAAAAAGGGAAAACAACGCTCCCATGATTAGTGCTCCTCACCAAGTGCTGATGGCACCTACCCGGAAGCCAAGCCGGCCACCGTGGTAAGCAACGCTTGCGTGATGGGTCAGACCTCTGATAGGGTTTGTGAATCACTGCAGTGGTTCACCAAGGCGGCGTAATTCTTCAGCAGGGACGGGAAATTTTCCATTTGGGGATCATTACGCTTTTAGTATATTAAATGCTGAAATGCCCGCACTGTTGATCTTTTTGAGAAAATATAAATAAACAAGTCAGTCACTTTTAAAACAGAGGCACCTGGGTAGTTCAGTTGGTTAAATGTCCGACTCTTGATCTCGGCTCAGGTCAGGATATCACAGTTCGTGGGATCAAGCCCTGCGTTAGGCTCTGTGCTGACAGTGCAGAGCCTGCTTGCGATTCTCTCTCTCCCCCTTCCTCTCAAAATAAGTAAACTTCAAAGACCATGTTTTAAAATGGCAGAAAATGAGAGACAGTTTTTCTCAGTAACAATAAACTGGTAAATACATTTCAGATTAATATTTTGGCCACATTGGGGAAAACGAATAACCAAAAGGAAGGTGAAACAGTCCTCAGTGAAATGGGGCCTATCAATCATGTCAGAAAGAAGCAAACCAGGGGCGCCTGGCTGGCTCAGTTGGTTGAGTGTCTGACTTCGGTTCAGGTCACGATCTCACAGTTTGTGGGTTCGAGCCCCGCGTCGGGCTCTGTGCTGACAGCTCGGAGCCTGGAGCCTGCTTCGGGTTCTGTGTCTCCCTCTCTCTCTGTCCCTCCCCGCTCACACTCTGTTTTTCTCCCTCTCAAAAATAAATAAACATTAAAAAAAATTTTTTTTAATGAAAAAAAAAAAAGCAAAACAGCTGTGTCTGAATTTGGCTTTTAATCAAACCATACCTCCTCCCAAATAACAAATCCAATGCTTCTGTGTAAGGCCATGGAAGGGGAGGGTTTTATCACTTCCACGACACTAAATGTTTCTGCTTCTCCCCCACCTGCACTCACTGCTTCTCAGCTTTTTGTGCCATCGCGTCTTGCTGTGGGTGGCCAATTCAAGGCAACCGTGCCCCACTGCGTGTTGTCCCTGAGCAGATGCAGCTCTAGGGTAACTTCTAATCTTCAACTCATTTCTAGGGTCCTCATGCCTCTTCCCACTGCTGTCTCAGTATCTCGACATGGATGGGTTGTAACAGGGTTTCTTCTGGAAGCCCAGGACAGACCTTACTGGCCTAGACGTGTGTGTGTAACTCCTTACTCTCCTCTAGGCACACCACACATTTCACAATTTGTCCATCTTTGTCGACGTTTCCCTGCTTTTGGTGTCTTGCCTCTGCTCTCTGCCTGTCAAATTTTCAGAGCCTCTTTTCGACTACTCTGGCACATTAAACTCTTTTCAGTGGCGCTTCTTACCGGAAACTTTCCATGTGTCTCCGCCATCTTATTTGGGGGTTCCTTGACGGCAGGGGTTCCCCTTTACTCACCTCTGCTCCAAGAGCTCAGCAGAGTGCTCTCGATACAATGACGAGATAACGTCTGATGACTGGATTTCCTACGTGACCTACGGGGACTGTGGGTAGCAGCATCACTGCCCCTCAGAACACATGGCAATTATCTTAGATTGGAGATGTCATTTCTTCACTGAAATCAGACTCTCCGACCTCAGTGAATTATGAAATACTTATTTCCCATACGTGTGAGTGTGCGTTGCCTGCATATGCGCACAGGAGGGGGAGAGCGACACTGAAATCAGTCCTCTGAAATTTCCTTTCAAACGAGTCCTCTGATAGTCAAGGGCTCGTTTTTTGTTTTTTAATTGGATGGTGTATAATTTTCCTTTTATTGCCTTGATACTGTTCTTTGGGAAGATAAAGGACTTAATTTTTTTTTTTTTTAATGTTTATTTTTGAGAGAGAGACACAGAGACAGAGCAGGAGCGGGGGAGGGGCAGAGAGCGAGGGAGACACAGAATCAGAAGGAGGCTCCAGGCTCTGAGCTGTCAGCACAGAGCCCGACACGGGGCTCGAACTCACGAACCATGAGATCATGACCTGAGCTGAAGTCAGACACTTAACCGACTGAGCCACCCAGGCGCCCTGGAAAGATAGGATTTTAAAACCAGTTCTGAGGTCATTTGGTCCAATGAGAAGTACAAGTTGCTGGGAAGGAAAGAACCATCCTGGAAAATATCTCTCAAGGTTAAGTGTGTCAAACCTAGATTTTCCAGAATAGTAGTAAGAAAAAAAAACAGCTAGGAAACCTCACATTTAAACGATGAAAACACTTCATTCGGTCAAAACGTGTTGTATTTCTATGCATCAGTGCCTAGAGACTGAAAGACATTTCAGCCCTACTTAAGCAAATATAGGTTTGAAGGCCCACAGAGCTTACGATACTTAACATTAAAAATCTGCAAAGACGTGCCCATATCCACTATTCACACCAATACTGAGTCACGATGGTAGAGCTTTTATTTTTGTGGGGAGGGAGAGAGGGAGAGGGAGAGGGAGAGAGAGAGAGAGAGAGCAGGTCCGTGCGCGCACGAGGCTGGGGGTGGGGTGGTGGAGAGAGAGAACCTTAAGCAGGCTCCACGTTCAGCACAGAACCTGACACCGGGCTCAATCCCACAACCGTGAGATCACGACCTTAGCTAAAATCAAGAGTCAGACGCCCAACCGACTGAGTCACCCAGGCGCCCCCATGATGGCAGAGCTTTTAAAATGTGGTGCACACACACGCGTAACTGAAAGGTCCTGAATTTCTTGTAATGGCTACAAAACACTTTGAATTTTCAGAAGCAAAAGCAGACATAACCATTAGATGCCTAATATAATCCCACTCTACCTTTCTGCCACCCTTTCCAACCACATTGCTTCCATGTATCAGGCTCTCGTAACGACCTTCCAACTGGAACATTAGCAGGTTGTATACTTCTTCCTGGCAGATTTTCTGGCAACTGTGTTCACGGGCTCAGGAAGCTAAACTGTCTATTAATTCCTCTCATACCAGCTTTGAAAAGACTGAGCCAGCAACAAAGCATGGGAACCACACGCGGCCCACTTACGGGAACTGGGGAGCTCTGAGCGGTTAAGGGAGCTTGTTCTCTAAGAAGCGGAAAGTACAGAACTGACAGGCAGAGAAGCAGCCAGTCGGAGGAATGCACACTGGAAAACCTCCGTGCAGAGGTGACAATTCAAACACGCGGAAAGGAGGAGCTCTCTGAGAATGAGCGCCTGGGGTCAGGATCAAAGAACGCTCACGGTCAGGGAGGACAGAAAAAAAGAATCACGGACATTGTAAGAAAACTTTTCATTACGAAAAATTTCCATCACACGCAATTACGTAAGAACACAGTGAGCTCCCACTACGTACTCCCCAGCTTTAACAATTACTACAACCATGGCCCATCTGGTTTCGTCTATACTTCCTCTCGCTTCCCCCCGCCTCCTTCCTTCTTTCTGAACCAGAAGGGACCTTTGAGATCATCTGGTCCAACTGCCTCCCTCGTTTTATAGATGTGTAAACTCAATTCCAGAGAACACAAATGATATGCCCCGAGATTACACAGCCAAGAGAGACCCATAAAATAACCTGGTTATTTTAACGTGTAATATTTCAAGTCAGTGTTTGTTATTTTATCAAGAGAAAGAAAGGAATTTCATAGAGCTGCTGTGCTCCACATTGCTGGGTGCTGCAGGGAGCTTGTGACAGGTGACGCCTAAAAAACGGTTCTGGGATTTGACCAGAAGGGAGTCCCCGGCCTCTCCTACCTACCTCCAATACGGACCTCGAACAACACATTCCTCAGCCGTTGGTTCTCATCAAAACTACTGGGGGGGACAGTATAGCGAACGGGGAGGCAGAGGGAGACACAGAATCTGAAATAGGCCCAGGCTCTGAGCTGTCAGCACAGAGCCCGACCGCGCCTGAACTCACGGACCGCGGGAGATCATGACTCTGAGCCAAGTCGGACGCTTAACCTAATCGGTGCCACCCAGGCTTCACCAAAGAACTGCTGTTAAAGAGGAGGCTGGGACTGTTTTGTACCCTCCCCCCCCCCCCCCCCCAGTAGTTTTGATGAGAACCACCGAGGAATGTGTTGTTCGAGGTCCGCATTGGAGGTAGGTAGGGAGAGGTCAGGGACTCCTGGTCAACCCCAGAACTGTTCTTTAGAAGGCCACCTGTCACAAGCTCCCCAGCACTCCAGCAGCAAATGTGGGAGCACAGCAGCTCTAAGAAATTCCTTTCTTTCTGATAAAATAACAAACACTGACTTGAATATTATTAAAATAACCAGGTTATTTTAGGCCCTCTCTGGCTGTGTAATCTCGGGGCATATCATTTGTGTTCTGAATTGAGCTTACACATCTATAAAACGAGGGAGGCAGTTGGGACCAGATGATTCAAAGTGTCCCTTTCTGACCAGGAAAGAAGGAAGGAGGCTGGGGAAGCGTAAGAGAAGCATAGATCAAACCAGATGGGTCATGGTTGTAGTAATTATGTAGGGGAGTAATGTAGTGGGAGCTCACTGCTCTTACGAATTGGCAGGACGGAAATTTTTTCTGTAATGAAAAGTTTCTTACAATGTCCTGCGATTCTTTTTCTGTCCTCCCTGACTGCGGGATGCTCTTTTGATCCTGACCCCAGGCTTCATTCTCAGAGAGCCTCCTTTCCACAGGTTTGAATTGTCACCTCTGCACGGAGGGGTTTTCCAGTGTGCATTCCTCCGACTGGCTGCTTCTCTGCCTGTCAGTTCTGTACTTTCCGCCTTAGAGAACAAGCCCTTAACCGGCCAGAGCCCCTCAGTTCCCCGTGAAGTGGGTCACAGGTTCTATGCTTTGTTGCTGGCTCAGTCTTTTCAAAGCTGGTATGAGAGGAATTAATAGACACAGTTTAGCTTCCATTCAAGTGGAACACACAGTTGCTCAGAAATCAGGCTAAGAAGTATACAACCTGCTAATGTTCCAGTTGGAAGGTCAAGTAAGAGAGCCTGGATACATGGAAGCAATGTGGTTGGAAAGGGTGGCAGCAGAGGGATTATATTAGCACTAATGGTTGGTGTCTGTTTTCTTACCTGAAATTCAAAAGTGTTTTGTAGCCATTACAAGAAATTAGACCTTTCAGTTACGTGGTGTGTGTTCACATTTTAAAAGCCTACATCAAGGGAAGCTAAGACTCCAGTCGGTTAAGGGCCTTGACCTTGATTTTAGCTAAGGTCGTGATTCACGGGTTGGGGATTGAGTCCGTGCTCAGGGGTTCTGCGCTGAACGGGAGCCTGCTTAAGGTCTCTCCACTGTCTCACTCCCAGCCTCGTATGCTGCACGGACCTGCTCTCTCTCTCTCTCCCTCTCCTCCTCCTCCCACAAAAATAAAAGCCTTACCAACGTGACTCAGTATTGCGTGAATAGTGGATATGGGGCACGCTCTTGCAGATTTTAATGTTGGCATCAGAAGCTCTGTGGGCCTTCAAACCTATATATGTATAGGCTGAAATGTTTTCAGTCTCAGGCACTGATGGCCAGAAATACAACACGTTTTGACCGAATGAAGTGTTTTCATCGCTTTTAAAATGTGAGGTTTCCTAGCTGTTTTTTTTTTCTACTACTATTCTGAAAATCTAGGTTTGACACACTTAACCTTGAGAGATATTTTTCCAGATGGCTCTTCCTCTTCCCAGCAACTTCAGGCCTCTCTCATTGACCAAATGACCTCAGAACTGGTTTTAAAACTTACTGGGCTCCTGGGTGGCCAGTCGGGTTAAGGTCTGACTTCAGCTCAGGTCATGATCTCATGGTTCGTGAGTTCGGTGCCTGCGGTCGGGCTCTGTGCTGACAGCCTGTGAGCCTGAGCCCTTCTGATCTCTGTGTCTCCTCGCCTCTCTGCCCCTCCCTCCTGCTCTGGTCTCTGTGTCTCTCTCTCAAAAAAATAAACATTAAAAAAAAAAAAATTAAGTCCCTTTATCTTCCCAAAGAACAGTATCAAGGCAATAAAAGGAAAATTATACACCATCCACTAACAAAAATCCAGCCCTTGACTATCAGAGGACCTGCTTGAAATTTCAGAGGACTGATTTCAGTGTCGCCTTCCCTCCCAGCAGATGCAGGCAACGCGACACTCACACGTGATGGGAAATAAGTATTTCATAATTACTGAGGTCGAGGAGTCTGATTTCAGTGTGAAGAAATGACATCTCCAGTTCAAGATAATTGCCATGTGTTCTGAGGGCAGTGATGCTGCTACCCACAGTCCTCGTGAGGTCAATGTAGGAAATCCAGTCATCAGACGCATCTCGCCATTGTAATGAGAGCACTCTACAGCCTCTGAGCAGAGGTGAGTAAAGGGAACCCCGTCGGCCAAGGAACCCCCCAAAGATGGCGAGACACATGGAAAGTCGGGTAAGCACTGAAAAAGAGTTTAATGTGCCAGAGTAGTCGGGGTGA